GTGTGACCTCACCTCCCGCGGCCTCTCTTCTCCCTTCCCTTCTGCAGGGACGCTCTCCCCGCCGCCCACCCCGCTCCGTCCCTGGCCTCACCCAGGTTCCCACTCAGAGATCTCCTTGTCAGACCAGCCCCCCAGAACGGCCACCTCCCCATCGCTCTGTCCACTCATCCTGCTTTATTTCCCTTCTTAACATCTCTCCCTACATGACACATTATAGATGGCTGTAATAAAAAAGGCAGGCAAGGAAGTGTTGGCAAGGATGTGAAGAAATTACATTGCGGGTGGGGATATAAAATGACGTAGCCACTGTGGAAAACTCTGGCAGTTTCTCAAAAATTTAAACAGCGTCACCATGTGACCCAGCAATTCCACTCCTGGGTGAGTGTCCAGGAGGACTGGCCACAGACGCCCACACCACTGCTCGCCCATATATGTCAGAGCGGAATTCTCGGTAACAGCCAAAAAAGTGGAGACAACCCACATGTCCACCAATTGCTTTATTTTATTTTATTGACTTCAGAGAGGAAGTGAGAGGGGGGAGGGAGATAGAAACATCAATGATGAGAATCATTGATCAGCTGCCTCTTGGGGATCGAGCCCACTACTCGGGCATGTGCCCTTGATCGGAATCGAACCCACGACCCTTCAATCCGCAGGCCGAGGCTCTATCCAATGAGCAAACTGGCTAGGGGTGACTACCAATTGTTAAAGGGTAAACAAAATGTTTACATTCCTTTGTTGCCTCCCCTGAGGCGGGAGGAGAGGGTGCAGGGCTGGAGGGGGTGTTGCGAGGCGCAGGGGCTGCTGCCCCACCCGAGGCCCTGGGACAGAGCCCTCTGCGCCGCTGAGGCCCCCCACACGCCTGGCCGTCCCCTGGGAGCTGCAAGCGGCCATCTGTCCTGTGCCCACAGCTGTCGGGTGACGGTTCCGGGTTCAGTAGCTCCCGGCTGGGGGGTCCATCGTCCTCTTGATTGAAACACACGGCCCACGTCCACACGGCCCCGCAGTAAACAAGAAGGCGACTTTTCCTCACCTGGGCTGCGGTCGGGCTGCACGCCGCTTGCGTTTGCCTCCGCTGTGACGTGGCTAATGTGTGGGTAAAAGGGTCCCTTCCCGAGACGTTTCGCACTTAATTCCGTATGAGTGTGGCAGTGAGTGGAGGCCCCTAATAGCATGCGGGGCGGCTGATGAAGTGAGCCTGCAAATGGGCGATTAATCACGGACTGAAATATTTACAACGCCTCCCGGCTTCCTGGGATGGGCAGGATATGGCTCCTGTGTGGTCCCTGGGCGGCGGCTCTGCAGGTGGAGAGCTGCCTGCCTTTCTGGCCTCTGCCCACTTTCCCCACAGCCAGGGCAGGACTTCCTGCACCCCCACCGCCCCTCGTTAGCCCCCTGTCACGGGGCAGGCGGGACCCAGGCCTCCCCTCTGCCCAGGACACGATCACTCTCTCTAGAGACCCCAAATTCTCTGCGCTTGAACCTCTTCACGTTTCATGTTCCATCTGTGGCTGCCTCCCTGCTAGGCCGCGAGCGAGCCCATGGGAGCAGGACCTCGTTCTATTTGGATCCTCACGTCACCCTTTTGTTTGGGAGTGCAGGGGTCCTGGGGCGGGGGCTGCGATCCGAGCTCACTGTGAATGGTTCTCCGTCCTCCTTCTTGAACGAAGAGCAACCCCCCCATAATCCCAAGCTCCGGGGTGGTCACCTCTGGAGGGACCGCCACCTCCTTACCGACTAGAGGCCAAGCCTGAGATCCAGAAGAGCGAACTCATGTGCCTGGGGACAGGGTCAGGGGCGGAGGCCCCATCTGAGCCCACGGCCTGAATCAGCTTCGTCCTTGGGGTCGAGTTGGTCATCACCGTCATCGTCACGTCAAAACCACGCCAGGCAGGAAAAGAGAGGCACCCCGGGGCGGGGGAGGGGCGGTGCTCGCCCTCTAGCTCTAGGTGGATGATGATAAATCTGGTTCTGAGCATTTAAAAGTGATCGATGCACCGAGTCTTAGGCAGGTAGACAGGGAGGACACCTAATCCGCGTCAGGTATTCTTGGTGGCCTTGACCGGGGCGACGCCGGGCCTGGTTTGATCATGGGCTCCCCCAGCTGCTCAGCAAACTGTCGAGCACATTAAATATCTATGTTTATTGAATGACTGACTCGAATGCTTGCCATGGCCCAGGACTGGATGCCGCCTCATTTTAATCCTGAGCAAGCGTGGTCTTAAGCATTATGCCACGCTGACTGCGACAGGTGACTTCCTTGCGTGGCGGCTTATCCGAGGCAGATTGCTTTTAAATCCTTGTGGTGACATTCTGGCCAGCCGTCCAACGCGAGATCCGCATCGAGTGAATCCTTAATAATTATTAATTGATGAGGTGCTTTCGCAGCCTGAATGCTTAAACCACGTGCCCTCTGAATACGGCGCGGGCTGCGGCATATTTTAATTAAATACTGACGACGTTAATTCGACTGCTCCCTCTAATACTCTCGGGCCGAGAGCACCAGGCTAATGGCTTGCTCATTTCGGAAGATATTAGCAGCAGGGTGCTGCCTTTTACCCAAACATGAGATCGTCATAATTAAAACCTGATATTGTTCGAAATGAACTCCTTTAAAGTAATTTATATCCCACAAACACACACAGATGCAATATATGTGCCAACGACCTCGAGAATTTACGGCACCTCGGAGAAACTCTGTCCGCTCCTTTCCAAAATGAAACCTCTCTGTCCAGGTGATGAAAGGCTCCTTACTGGGTTCAGGGGAAATGTGTGTTTCCACGGATCAATTTCCGAGTCTCCCCGAAGACAGAGCCACGGAGAAATCCTGGAAACGAATGGCGGCGGGAGCAGAGTGCATTTGGACTTTATTGCGCCAACCAGAGTCTAAACCACTGAAACAGAGACGGAGACAAAGGGAAATCTTATTGTGCGTTTTGGGGGGGGGACGGGGGACGGAGCAGGAGGGAGGAGAGATGATGTCTGAGTAGACAAAGAGATGAAATAATTTGGAGCGAGGGTCCAGAAGGCGAGTATAACACAGTGTGTTAACTCTCTGCTTCAGCTTACACGGAGCACGGATTGTGTCCCCAGGCGTGGGAGACCCCACGGCCGGCGCTTGCCTAGAGCATGACTCTTAACCAGGGGCCATGTGTGGGCTTTAGGGGGAGTAGGATCACCCTGAACTTGTATGTAAATCCTCAGTTTATCGGTAGATATCGGAATGGGCAGAAATAGATGGGCACTTCTTTTCTGCTGATAAGGTCTACGGCTTGGGCCACTTTCTCTAAGCCTTCGGGGTCCCCCAAAAGGTGAATCAACTCGAAAGTGGAGTTTGCTCTCTCTAACCTTCCCCTGAAAAGGATGAACCAACGGAAGCCAAAACCCAAACAAGCCAAGGAGCGCAGATATTTCACTTTGTGAAGGTAAAGAAAAATATTTTCTACAAAAACCTTAAAAACAGCATGGCGACTCTGTGAATAATACCTCATTGCATATTTGAACGTTGCTAAGACAGTACAACTTTTTTTTATATGTTTCTTTTTTAAAAAAAAAATTGATTTCAGAGAGAGGAAGGGAGAGGGGGAGTGAGATAGAAACATCAATGATGAGAGAGAATCATGGATCGGCTGCCTCTTACACACCCTTCACTGGGAATTGAGCCTGCAACCCGGGCATGTGCCCTGACCTCAAATCTAACCATGACCTCCTGGTTCACAGGCTGACACTCAACCACTGACCCACACCATCCAGGCTGAGAGTACATCTTAAAACTTCTCATCCTAAGAAAAAAAGTCCTGTCACTCTGGGTGGCTGCAGATGTCATGGTGACCATTTCCCAATACACACAACTATCAAATCATTAGTTGCACCCCCGAGACTAATATAATAGTTGTGTGCTACTTACACCTCCATAAAAATAATTTTAAAAATCCAAATTGGAAAAAAAAACCTTCAGGAAAGAAAAACCATGCACTCAAAGAGAAAGAGAGAGAGAGAGAGAGAGAGAGAGAGAGAGGGAGAGAGAGACCACCCAAAATCGTGACTGCCAGGACACAGTTCCCTGACAACCTCCTGTATCTTTGAGTCACCCTTTGCAGGGTCATGTCCTTAGCGGTCACTGGAGGAACAGACCCGTCGCTAACCCTCGCTTGACTCTGCTCAGGGTCCTGGGCTGGAGACAGAGAAAGTCCCCGAGGAACTTTCTCGGCGCGTTCTCCTCCCCACTACCATCTTCTGAGTGTTTACTATTTGTGAAGCATCATTTCAGGAGCTGTGCCTGCGAGGGGTTATGGCTCACTGATTTTGTAAGGACAGGTATCATAATCAGTCTTCTTACAGAGGAGGAGACGGAGGCTCAGGAAGGTTCCGTAACTTGTTCCAAATTCACAGCTAGCGGTCTCCTGCTACCTCTACCCCTTTCCCTAAAAACAGACAGACAAATAAAATCCTACAAATGGCAGTACTTCTCAAGGTGAGGCAGATGTCAGGAAATGAAAGCAACTATATAAACCCACCTTTCATCCTCACGGGACTATAGAGAATTGAATAGTGTTTATGAGCTGTTTGTCTCACAGGGAGCAACAGCAGACCTCATCCTCACGGCTCCAGAACGACAGGAGGGGAATTGAGGTGGCCCAGGGCTGGGGGCGGGGGAGTGAGGCTGGAGAAGAAAGGGGACTATTAAGGAAGTGGGTTTAAGGGAAGCTACATAATTTTGAAGATCCTGGACCACAAAGCCTGGCAAACAAGATTTTTCTTACCACCTAGACTGTGCCTGCACTGTCCACGCTCACTTTTGACAGCCATGGAAAACAATTTATTTAGACATAATTTCAGTCTTACCCTTGCAAGAATAGTACAGATAATTTCTATATATCTTCCATCCAGATTCCACCACTGATACTATCTCACTGCATCTGCTTTATCTTTCTCTAAATAAACATATCCACCCCATCTTCTTCCTCATGCAGACATAACGATGCTCCTTTATCTTCCAGGGTACATTTCTCCTAAATGAGGATATCCTCTTCCAGAACCACAATACGATGATCGAAATCATAAAGTCACCACCAATAAAATACCATGAACTCATCTACAGCCTGACTCAGATTTCACCGATTGGCCGGGGCTTGTCAGCAACAGGAAATCCCAGGTCATTCAGTTGTCCCGTTTCTTCTGTCTCTCTGACTTGGGGACTGTTCCCCAGGCCTTTTTTTTGTCTTTCATGACACATGCTTTGTGGGAAAGTGCAGGTCAGTGGTTTAGTCGAATGTCCTTCTGTTTGAGTTGCCTGATGTCCTGACCAGGTTCAGGTTTGCATTTAGGGTTCAGGGCATCATTTCAGGAAGTGATGTTAACCTTTGATCTCTTGGTTAGAGTAAGGTCTGCCAGGTTTCTCTGCTTTGAAGTCACCAGTACCTCCCCTCCCTTTTACGTTACTGCATTTAAAAATATATGGTAAAATATATGTAACATAAAATTGACCATTTTAACCAGTGTTAAGTGTCTAGCTCTGTAGCGTCGAGTGCATTCATTGTTGTGTAACCTACACCGCCGTCTGAGGAACTTTTTCATCTTCTGCAACTGAAACTCCATCCCCATTAATCACTAACTCCCCATCTCCCCTCCCCCAGCCCCTGGCAACCACCGTTCTACTTCTGTTTCTGTGAATTTGCCCACGCCTGGTACCTCACATAAGTGGAATCATACAGTAGTTGTCCTTTTGTGACTGACTTATTTCATTTAACACAGTGGTTCTCAACCTTCCTAATGCCGCGACCCTTTAATACAGTTCCTCATGTTGTGGTGACCCCCAATTTCATTGTTACAAATTGAACATAATTAAAGCATAGTGATTAATCACAAAAACAATATGTAATTATATATGTGTTTTCCGATGGTCTTAGGCGACCCCTGTGAAAGGATCGTTCGATCCTCAAAGGGGTCTCGACCCACAGGTTGAGAACCGCTGATTTAACATAACGTCTTCAAGGTTCATCCATATTGTAGCAGATGTCAACATTCCCTTCCTTTTTAAGGCTGAACTATTCCTTTGTATGTAAACACCACAGGTTGCTTAAGTGTTCATCGGAGGATGGACACTGGGTTGCTTCTGCCTCTTAGCTATTGTGAGTAAAGTTGCTATGAACACACGTGTGCACATATCTGCTCCAGTTTGTTTTCCCTTCTTTTTGGATCTGTGCCCAGAAGTGAAATCACTAGATCCTTGTTTTTCCCTTCTTAATTAATAAGTTCCTTGGGAGTGATACTCTGAGACTATATAAATATCCTGTTACTCCTCACACGTTCACTCACTAGTTTTAGCATCCCTCGATCCTATCTGAATCAAGTATTACTCCAATGTTGCCAAATGGAAATTTCCTTTGCATCATTCCCTCTACATTGATTGGTTGGCATTCCACCGTGGGAAATAACTTTCCCATATCTCCCACTTATTTATGGGTATGGACTCATTTTATTCATGGGGTTATAGTTCTTTACTCCATGGACACCATTGCTCTGAGCAATACTTTCCCATATAACTCTAAAGAGCGCCAGTTTGGGGAAATGCGGGGACTTTCTGTATTTCCTTGTCACCACCAAGAAATCCCAGCGTGCAGCCTTACTTCTGTAAATGGAGATCACTTTCCTGCTCATGTATTCGTGTAGTTAAACTAGAACCCCTTTTTTGGATACTTCTCCCGCACAGACCACCTGAGCAGCCCCGCCCCGCCCCGCGGAAACTACATTTCCCAGAAGCCTCCGCGCGCTGCGTCATCAGCGAGCGCGGCTTTCGTTCGCGAAGCCGGCAATGGAGCGGCTGTGGTGACGGCGGCGGCGGTATGGCGGACCCGCTGAGCGTCGGCGTGAACCTGGAGGCCTTCTCCCAGGCCATCAGTGCCATCCAGGCGCTGCGCTCCAGCGTGAGCAGGGTGTTCGACTGCCTGAAGGATGGCATGCGCAACAAGGAGACGCTGGAGGGCCGGGAGAAGGCCTTCATCGCGCACTTCCAGGACAACCTGCACTCGGTCAACCGGGACCTCAAGTAGGTAC